TGACCCATCCAACTGTGTAGGCATCAATGCCACAGTCGCTCGATTTATTAATGAGAATGGGGTGAGAGACAGTGTCAAAGGCCTTCTTAAAATCCAGAAAGACTATGTCCACGGCAACACCATCATCCAGGGATTTAGTTACCTGGTCACAAAAGGCCATCAGGTTGGTCTGGTAGGACCTGCCTTTGATGAACCCATGTTGATTTCCCCTGGGCATGATCTCCCCTGCTGGCCCCTCACAGATGTGGTCCTTGATAATTTTTTCAAGGATTCTCCCCAAAACTGACGTGAGGCTTATGGGCCTATAGTTTCCTGGGTCCTCCTTTCTCCCTTTCTTATAAATGGGGACCACATTAGCTAGTTTCCAATCTCCGGGCACCTGGCACATGGACCACGATCGCTCGTACAGCCAGGCCAAGGGCACAGCAATGACCCCCGCCAGCTCTCTCAACACCCGTGGGTGGAGGGCATCAGGGCCCGCAGATTTAAAAACATCCAGCCCTTCCAGAAGATCCCTAACTATTTCTGCACAGACCCGATGCTTGGGGTACTGGGCCTAGCAGCCATCCATGAGGCTCATTCCCAAAGAGTTTGAGAGCAGGGTAGACAGGCATTTGGCTGGGCTGGAGCAGGGGCTGGATTAGCTGTGGCCTCCTGAGGGCCCTGCCAACCCAGCTCTGCTCTAGTTCTATCAGGAGACCCACCAGCTTCCCTGGCCAGTCCCCATGGCTGACCCCAGGCCAACAGGAGACACATGAGGCAGGGTGGGGTGCCAGGGGGACAGAGGAGGGGCCCTGGCAGGTGTTTGCGGGCATCGCAGCAAGGGGCAAGTACTTACAGCGTGTGACTCCAAGCGTGAGGAGCAACAGGTTCAGAAGCAGAGAAAGCCCCAGGAGTGCACCGCCCAGCAGGAGCCACCATGGCCCCCACACTGCAGGGACAGAAAGCCACACGCTGAGAGGTGCTCTGGGGCCTGACAGCCAAGGCGCCCCCCAGCTCCCCTCAGAAGGGACAGTCAGCCTGCACCAGAGCCCAGGACCCAGGAGTCCGGACCCCAGCTCCTGCTTTCACCACCCCTACCCGCTGCAAGAGAGGCAGAACCCAGGAGTTCTAGCTCCAGCCCCCTCCCGAAACCCCAAACCCCAAAATGCTCCCAGAGCTGAGGAAGAACCCAGGCACCCGCCCTCTCACACCCACCTGCCTTCCCCTATGGGCTCTCAGAAACAAGAATCACAACCAGCACATTTGAGCCCTGCCCCAGCCTTCCCTGCCACCCTGCCCCACCACGCCTGGTACCTGGTGCAGGAGCAGCCCCCTGCTCTGTTTGCTTCCTTCCAAGCAAAATGGGCGGGTCACAGGCCTCGTACTCGTTTTCCTCAACCGCAAATGACTCCCTGCAGGCTGGGCAGCATTAGGTGGGTGAGAGCCTGCACCCACCCCACCCTGCATGCAGGGGCATGGAGCCCCAGCCCCTGCCTCCCTGGGGGTGTCACCCATCTCCCTGGCATAGCCACGGCCCAGCCTCTGTGTACTCTCCCTGGCCTGGGGCAGCCTGGGGGGGTGCCACAGCATCTTAAAATTGGCCCAGATCCCCTAGGGTGGGTCCAGGCAGCCGGCACGGGGCCAGTTCTCCCTGGGTCACAACTGTTCAGGTCACAGCCCAGCTCCAACCCAGCCCTGCAGCCTTTCCTTAGCACCAGCAGTGACACTGCCAGAAGCCCAGGCACCACTGAGATTCCCCATGAAGCAGGTTGTCTGGAGACCCTTGGACAGCACAGACTGCTGGTTCCTGTGCCAGGGACCGACCTCGAAACTAAACGTCTGCCATGGGACACAGCCCCGACCTTGCCCCATCACAGCTACTGCACTCTGCATGGGGGGCACCCCCTGCTGGACCCCTACTCTGCCCCTGCAGCACAACACCCTCTGCTGGACACCCTATCTGCCCCCTGCAGCACAGCATCCCCTACTGGACCCGTCCTGCCTCCCACAGCACAGCACCACCTGCCCCGCACAGCACAGTGCCCCTGCTGGACCCCCTCCCTGCTCCTCCCCCCTCCCAGCACAGTGCCCCCTGCCGGACCTCCACACTGCCCCCCACAGCACAGCACAGCACAGCACAGCAGCCCCTGCTGAGCCCCTTCTACCCCCCCAAGACAGCGCTCCCTTCTGGATCCCTGCTCCCCCCCGCTACAGCACAGCACCCCCTGCTGCCACTGCAGCATTCAGGTTTTCCCGCAAGGCCTCTGGGGCAGGTGCTGAGCAGAGCTGGGGCTGCACCAGCCAGGGCTCCTGCTTCATACCCAACTTGCCGCTCTGCTCGAAGCCCCGTGGCTCCTCCTGCTGCTTCTCAACAGCATCAACATTGCCATACATCCCCTCCATGCTTGGTCCTGCTGCTAGTCAGCCCCGCACACACCCGGCCCTGCCACTCCCACTGTGCTCTTGTCTCTGCTCAGCAGCTGATAAGGCCCCCATCCAGGAAGGGGCTACTCCCAAAAAAGGCAAGTCCCTGCATCGGAACCCAGTGGGGCCCCAGGGTTCCTGCCACACAGGGCTGCAGCCACGGAAACATGTTCACTGCCTCGCTCCAAACCGCAGGGCATTGGGGGGGAGCAGCCAGGGTCAAGTCCAAACCCCATGTCCTCACCTGCTAGCAGAGGTGCAGGGCTCTGCCTTGGGCCCAGGGGATGGGGCAGTCTCTCCCCATCGTGATCAATGACCTGCAGAGTTAGCAAAGCCTCCAGAGCTTCATGTCCAAGTCTGCAAGGCACAGGCATGGCAGGGTAGTGGCAGTGACTCCCGGGAGAAGTGGGTAACAAGCCCACCAGGATAGCCATGGTTCCCCTACAGGGAGAGGGCTGGGATCAGCCCCAGTGCTCTGGGCTTCCTCCAGCCATGTGGCAGGCCCGTGCCACACGACTGCCGAGGAGGGGATAGGGATGCAAAGCACATGGCTCTGCCTAGCAGGTGCCAGGCCCTTTGGGATCGACCCATCTGGCATCTGCTGCTGGACACCTGGCACAGCTTTGTGGGCCTGGTGTGGCTCTTGCCCCAAGGCCTGTGACTCAACCCCCAGCTGTGTGGGGCAGCACTGGTCACCCCACAGGCCAGATGGTTCTCACGCCCCAGGGCTACAGATGGTCCCTGTGGCCAGCATGGCAGATATGGGGTTCAGGGCAGCATGGAAAGGAGCCTGGGTGATAAGCCAGGACCACAGCTTCCCAGACAGCATCCCCAGCCCACTCCCCATGCAGCCATGGGGCACAGACCACAGAGGCCTTGACCTCAACAACAGGGTGGGGACAGGGCTGCCCAGGGTGCCCCACTGGGGTCTGGCGGAGTTTGCTGTGTCAGGGTATGTGCAGGAAGCATCCACCAACTATCACTGCCTGCTGCTCCCACTGCTCTATCAGCTCCCAGAAGTGGAAGCAGCTGCACCCAGCTCACATCCTGCCCCTTATCTCAACCAGCTGCACAGCCTGGCCTGGGGACGCGGTGGGAGGCAGCGGCTGGCACTTGGGAAAGGTTGGAGACAGCATGCATCCCCAACCATGAGGGAGAAGGATAGTCCAGCTCTCTGCCTTGGGCACCAGCCAGAGGCTCAGACGCAGCCAGGCCCTTCATGTGGAGGGCAGACCCAGCCCTGTGAAGAGGTCAGTCAGGGGTTGAACCCCCATGCCACCAGCTCCCAGGGTTTCTGTGCTCCCTTCTGCTCAATAAGTAAGGCCTGAAGGTCATTCCCCTTCTTGCTTTGTCCCAGAGCACCAGCGTCCCCTCCTAGTCATCGATTCATAGGTTCATAGATAGTTAGGGGCTGGAAGGGACCTCAGAAGATCATTGGGTCCAGCCCCCTGCACTAGACAGGAAAGACAACTGGGGTCAGGTGACCCCAGCGAGGTGACCACCCAGTCTCCTCTTAAAGATTTCCAGGGTAGGCGACTGCACCACCTCTGGAGGGAGCTTATTCCACAGTCTGGACACCCTAGTTGTGAAGTAGCTTTCCTAATGTTGAGCCTGAAACGGTCTTTCAGGAGTTTGTAACCATTACTCCTGGTTTTCCCCAAGGGTGCCCTGGTGAGCAGTTGTTCACCGAGCCCTTGATGTACTCCCCTAGTGTAGCAGTAAGCTGCTACCAAGTCCCCCCGTCTTCTCTTTCTCAGGCTGAAGAGTCCCAGGTCCCTCAGCCTTTCCTCGTATGGCTTGCCGTGCAAGTCTCTGATCATACGGGTGGGTCTTCTCTGGACTCTCTCAAGCTTTACCACGTCCTCGTTGAAGTGCAGCACCCAGAACTGGACGCAGTACTCCAGCTGCAGTCTCACCAGTGCTGAGTAGGAGAATCACTTCCTTGGTTTTGCTGGAGATGCATCGACTGACGCGTGCCAGAGTATTGTTGGGCCTCCTGGCTACAGCATTGCACTGCTGGCTCATCTTCATACTGCGGTCAACTATTACCCTCAGGTCCCTTTCATTCGTAGTACTGGTCAGGTTGGTGTTGCCAAGCCTGTAGGTGTGCAGGGGGGTTCGTCCCCAGGTGGAGCACTTTACATTTCTGGACGGTGAGAAATGTAAAGTGCATCATGTGCATGGAGCCCCCTCACATCTGCCTCTGGGAAATGAGGCAAGGGCAGACCAGAGTCTTCCCTGCCCATTAGGTGGGTCTCCAGCTGGGCCCAGGCAGGGGTCAGGGGGCCCTGGGTGAGCCCTATCAGTCGCAAAGACAGGTTGTGTAACCTAGGCCCAGCCCCTGGCCAGCTCCACCTACTCGTGGGCTCCGTGCGGTGCCAGCTCCAGGGTGGGCAGAGCTCCTTGCCCAGACGGCTGCCAGCAGCGGAGAAGGGGCTTCCCCGGGGCGCCACAGA